AATTGAATTAAACGACTCAGATTTGAAAACCAACTTTTTTTTTTACAAAAACATTGACAAGTAGTATGTGCAAACACTGCAAATTCTCACACGGAAGGGCTCAAGTAGACATTAAGCCATTGATTTGCACATGCAAAAAGATTAACACCCAATTCAGGCATAAGAACTGTATACCAATTGGCATGCACTGCCTGCCCATCAGATTAGAGGCTGAGGAAATTACTTAGTGCCCAAAAAAGATGCTGCACAGCCAAACATCTAGGCCTGTGACCTTTCAGCAGTCTTGCTGCAGAAGCTGGTGCAATGAGAATGTGCATCAGGTATTTGGACAAGAGGTCAGCAAACTTCCCTGATTTGCCAAGCGCCAATGGAAAATGTCAAGCATTGCAAATCTTGTAATCTGCTCTCCATCCCAAGCATCTATCTCCATTGCACATAACTCTGCAAAGCAGTACTATGTTGTAAATCTATCCTGTAATGCATATCAGATGGTGATAATCTGAGCAAAGCAGTGAAATACTCAATCAGTCCACTTTCTAGTCATGATAACCATCACCTGGAAAGGTAGAGCAGAAATTACACACATGAACAAAGAATAACTTGGATCGAAACTTCTACAGTAGTGAAGACATTTAATAGTAGAAATGGCACTTGATAAACTAGCGAATAAAGACTAAGGTGAAACCATTTCAGAAAGACATCTTCCATTCAACTCTATAAAAGTGTTCTGTTTCAATATTGCTTTTGTGTTCAGCAGTTTAATTAGGGAAGGATAATGTTGTTACAGGACAACCAGCAAATTCTTCAACTGGAAAATTATTCTAGGTAATTTTAAGCAATACCTCTGATCACTTTGGTGAAGAACAGTGCATAATTCTGATGGAAGAACACAAACCCGAGACACGAATGTTGTTTTTCTCTCGATGGATGCTGCTAGATCCGAGTACTTACTGAGTACTCTGTTATTGGATGATGTGGAATCTCCCTCTACGGGACCTTACCGTAAACTCAGCTCCATTTTTCACCAATGCTCCTTTGAAAGTCTCAAAAGTAATATTCTTTTCAGCCAGATCGATGATAAATTCAGCTGTAAATTGAAAAACAGTGGTACATTATGGGGTGGAAGGAAAGCAGCATTTTAATTCTGCACATTGCTCAGTGCAAAATATCAAAAACATTATTTGTCAGAAAGCACTAATTAAATTAATTGAAAATCATTTATATTTGTTTTGTAATGATGCAATCAAAGTATGTCCAGAATGAAAAAGAAAATATACATTTGGGGAGCAAGTTTCAGGGCTTTCTGATGCCCCAAAGCACATTGCATTCAACTGAGCCCCTTTCTTTAAGAGTAGTCACTACTGTAACGTAGGAAATGTGGCACAAATAATTAACACGAAGTCCAACAACCAGAAATGAGATGATGCCCAGTTAATCTGTTTTAAGCAATGTCAGAGTAATAAGCATCGGTAAGGACATCCCTTGCTCTTCAAAACAGCGTAATAGGCTCTTTTACATCCATCTGAGAAGACAGACAGGTCTTTCGTTTGACGTCTCACCCAAAAGATGACAGTGGAGCACTTGCTTGGTGCTATGTTGAAATGCCAGTCAAAATTGTATGCTTTAGTCTGTTAATGGAACTTGAACCTCAATGTTTTGGCTCAAAGGCTAGTATACTTTCACAAAGAGCTGTTTAAGAAATGAAGCTTATTGATATTCAAATTTGTGGATCAAATTTGTGCATAGCACTAATTCATCAAGCACTGTCATGCTAGCCTGAAGAAAAGTTCCAAAAATTGATAGAGCTCAGTTGTTATGAAGTTAAACAATATTCTACAAAATAGGTGCACTCCCTATAGCCTTCATGCTACCTAACTAGTTTAAAGATTGATTGCAATTTCTAAATTTCCAGAACTCCCACTATTTGTCATTTATAACAAATTATAAAAATCAATACAAATAATTCAAATAACGAAGCTATCCAACATATGTATAAATAATGACTGAACAAGGTATTAAATGTTCACACTTAATCTCACCCCTCCACCCCACCAATCCCTACCCCCACCATTTCCATCAACCAGGGACCTAAAACACACTTTCCAGGCAAAATAGCAATCTACTTTTATTTCTATCACTTTACCATACAGTATTCACTGCTCACAATAACAACACAGGTAGTAACTGTTTCTTTTCTATGCTAAGTCATTGCTTTTGCTACATTTCTCTCCAGCACCATCAACAAGAAGTTGGAATAGAAAAACTTCAAGAGTCTTTCCCATTTGACACTTCTAAAATGTCTTTATTTTCAGAAGCTATTCAGGAATCAGTTGAGTTATTTGCATCCTTTCCTGATTTTCTCTGAACAAAAGTACCAATTACATAACCAAAACTGCAAAGGGAGAGGTACAAGCCTTTTGATCAGGACAGCATAAGAGGTAACAAACTGTTCTGACAAAAGAACAACCACCTAAGATATTAGTCTGTAAGTATACAAGCATCACTGGCAAAGCCAACTGCTTTTGCCTCTTCATAACTACACCAAAAAAGTGATGGTGGAGAGTGGCTATTTCCAACCACCGCAATCCATTGGGAGTAGGGAAAAGAAGAAAGAAGGGAGAAGAACACCCACAGTGCTATCAGGGAGGGAGTTCCACAATAATGACCCAGCGACACTATTCCCAGACACAATGGTGTGCAGATTGGAGGGGAACTTGCAGGTGGTGATGTTTGCATGGATCTGCTGTCCTTGTCCTTCGAGGTGGTGGTGGTGGTTACAATGGGGCAACGGGGTTATGGTCATGGTGCACTCAGAACCTATTGTGTTTTGGGTTGGGTTGGGGTAAAGGAGTCAGTTGCGATCTTTAATGCATGGACATAGATGTTTATTTTATTCTTCGACTGACTGGGTTAGAAATAAACAACGTTGAGGAAGTAGAAGCAGTGGCCTAGCCTGCCCGGTTTCTTACCCAGATCCTTGTCGTTGATGCCCAGATGGTTGTCCAGCTCAGTACAAACCTTGGACACCAGGGATAGATACTCGAGCTTACTGAGCTCGTCTAACGCCACCTCCGCCATTCCCGGGTATCGTTATGATCAGAAGACCCTCACAACAACACTCTCAGGAAACCCTTATCAATACAACCACTTCACCACCATCACTGCCGCCGCCATCTTCACGCACGCCACTTGACCTTTGACACAGCCTACCCCTTTGTCGATGTCAGCGCGTCTCCCCGAACCTTCCTCGGCAATTTCCGGAGACACCCGTGCGCGAACTTCCGCAACCCGACCACCAGGGGCCGCTCTGGACCAGAACCCGAGACAAGTCCCAAGACCAAGTCCTGCAGCCTAGGAACCTAGCAAACCGGGCTTCCAAAGCATTACAGCCAGTACAAAACCACAAATGCGGAGAAATCTGAAACAGAGAAGTCAGAACCTGCTGAAATGCAATGCAAAAAAAAAGGTGCATTCATCGTGTAATCCTTTGCCCTGTTAGTCCTCTCAAAATGTGTCTTTTGAGTGAGACTAATATCTGTTGCTTCAATTCAAATACAACTTCTTCAGAATTATTGCGAATCTGAAATAAAATTTTTTAAAAGGTTGGAAACACAGCAGGTCTGGCAGCATAGAGTGAGAGTTTTACAATACAGAAAAGAGGCCATTCAGCCCATCATGTCCACGCTGGTAATCAAGCACCTAATCTATTCTAGTCCCCTTTTCTAGCACTTGGCCCATTGCCCAGTATGATATGGCACTTAAAGTGAGTATCTAAATACTTCTTAAATATTGTGATGATTTCCACTGCTACCATTCTTTCAGGTAGTGAATTCCAGATATCCTCCAGAAGTACAGCCTTCTGGATGAAAAAAATTCTTCCTTAAACCTCCTTTAAACATCCCGCCCTTATACCTTAAATCAATGCTCCCAGTTATTGATCCTTCCACTAAGGGAAAAAGTTTCTGTCTATCTACCCTATCTATGACCCTCCATTTTGTACACTTCAGTCAGGTCCCCCCGCAGCCGACACTGCTCTGAGGAAACTAACCCCAGCATATCTAGTCTCTCTTCAAAGATGAAACACTCCAGCCCAGTAACATCTTGATGAATTCCTTTGCATCCACTGTACCGCAGTCATATCCTTCCTATAGTGTAAAAACCATAACTCCATACAGTACTCCACTGTCGCCTAAATAATGTCTTTTAAAGCTTCATCAAAACTGTCCTGCAACTGTATTTAACTAAATATTCCAATTATTCAATTTATTTCTTAACCGCCCGATCCACATGTCCTGTTGCTTTGAAGGATCTTTGGATATGCAAACCAAGGTCCCTCTGATCCTCTATTTCCTCATGCCTTACTTTCCATTGTGTACTCCATTGCCTTGTTAGTCCTCTCAAAATGCATCTTTGGAGTGTGAAATATGTGATGCTTCAAGTCAAATACAACTTCTTCAGCATTATTGATGTGCAAGTTCATTGGCACTTTAAACAATATTAATAGGCAAGCAAATGGATAACACTCCTACTGTGAATCACAAAGTTCCAGGTCGAGCCCCAATCCAGCATTTGTGTACAAAAGAAATCAAGGCTGACATTCCACTGTAGTACTGAGGAATGCCACACTGTCAGGGATATTGTCTTTTGGATGAAATGTGTAATCAAAGTCAACAGCTGCTTCTTCAGGCAAATTTTGGCTGCTGTTAGTACACAGAACTTGCTTGAAGGTAGAAGATAAAGGATATTGGTGGAGGGTTGCTTTTCAGACTGGAGGCCTGTGATCAGCGGTGTGCCACAAGGATCGATGCTGGATCCACTGATTTTCATCATTTATATAAATGATTTGGATGTAACATAGGAGGTATGGTTGGTAAGTTTGCAGACGACACCAAATTTGGAGGTGTAGTGGACAGCGAACAAAGTTACCACAGAGTACAATGGGACCTTGATCAGATGGGCCAATGGGCCAAGGAGTGTCAAATGGAGTTTAATTTAGATAAATGTGAGGTGCTGCATTTTGGAAAGGCAAATCAGGGCAGGTTTTATACAGTTAATGTAAGGGTCATGGGGAGTGTTGCAGAACAAATAGACCTTGGAGTGCAGGTTCATAGTTCCTTGAAATGGAATGGAAGGTAGACAGGATAGTGAAGAAAGCATTTGGTATGCTTGCCTTTATTGGTCAGTGCATTGAGTATAGGAGTTGGGAGTTCATGTTGCGGCTGTACAGGATATTGATTAGGCTGCAATCAGTTAAAACTGCAATCAGTTCTGGTCACCCTGCCACAGGAATAATGTTGTAAAACTTGGAAGAGTTCAGAAAAGAGTTACAAGGTTGTTGCCAGGGTTTAAGGGTTTGAGCTATAGGGAGAGACTGAATAGGCTGGACCTATTTTCCTTGGAGTGTTGGAGGCTGAGGGGGATCTTAATGAGGTTTATAAAATCATGAGGGACATGGAAAGGGTGAATAGCCAAGGTCTTTTCCCCAGGATAGGGGAGTCCAAGACTAGAGGGCATAGGTCTAAAGTGAGAGTGGAAAGATTTACAAGGGACCTAAGATGCAACTTTTTCACAGAGATGGTGGTCCGTGTATGGAATGAGCTGCCAGAGGTAGTGGGAGAGGCTGATACAATTACGACATTTAAAAGGCATCTGGATGTGTATATGAATAGGACTAGTTTAGAGGGATATGGGCCAAATGCTGGCAAATGGGACTATATTAATTTAGGATATCTGGTTGACATGAACAATCTGGACCGAAGGGTCTGCTTCCATGCTGTACAGCTCTATGAGTCTATAACAAAAGTATTTCATTGAAGGGTTTTGCGATAAATAGTGTCCTAGTAAAGTGCAATATAAATACAAGTTTTTCTTTTCAGTGGCAGTGTATCTTTCTCAGATTATTTCAAATTTATTATTTTGTTGCACAGAAGATGACGTTAATTATTCACAAATACATGACAAACTGTCACTGGAATTAAGTGAGACTTGAAATTTGTTTCAGAGATAGTAGGAGCTGCAGATGCTGGAGAATCCGAGACAACAAGGTGCAGGGCTGGATGAACACAGCAGGCCAAGCAGCATCATAGTTTCCATGAACTTTAACTGCACCATAACCAGTGCACCTAGTGCTAGGGCCAGTATCACCGATGTGATGACCAGAGATCTTGGGATCAGTTCCAAATACTGAGTACTCTGGTTATGTTCTGGTCCAGTACATTTGGCTTTTCCCCCTGGGCTGTATCAAATTTCAGCTGGTGGAGAATCTTCTGTCAGGATAATTATATATTCTGACACAGATTTCCAGCAGATTCTGGTTTTCTCAGCATTTCCAGGGCTGTTTAAATTTCAGATTAACTATTAACAGCGTTCAAATATATTTTCAAGAATTGAAACAGAAACTAAACGACAAACCCACAGGCTCTCAAGATCAAGAGCAGAGTTAATCCCACGCATCAGTTTTGCACTCTTGCTCAGATTGCGGTACTCATGACTCTGACTCAATTTTCTGCCAATAGTATTTACAGCTCAGAAACATACTAATGGCCCAACTGACCTGTGATAGTGTCCTTACTCCAGACAAGCTTCTTCTCGGCCCTCCACATCTCGCCTTATGAACGTAATCTTTGCTTTTTCTTCCTTCAAGCATTTTTTCACTTTGCCTTAAGTGCACCTTGGTATCCACCTCAACTGCTGCTTGTGATAGCGAGTGCCCAATTCTAACCATTCTCTGTAAAGAAATTCTTTCTGAATTCTCTGTTGCATTTATTAGTGACCGGTTAATATAAAAGGCTCCTCATTTGGGACTCTCCCCAAAACATTTTCTTAATGTCCACCTTGACAAATCCTTTGGGAGTTGTTTTCCCATTACATCACATTACATAGGCCCACTTGCTCTTGATTACTCTGCTTTTTACAACCAATCCTGAAGTTTTGAAGCATAAGGTACAATTTCCAATTGCTTCTTGCATGAGTTCAATGGATAAACTATTCACAGATTCACACAGCTGAAAAAAAATCGAAACCTTTCTCTGAAGGATTTAGGATTTAGTTTGGAATTTCTGGATGGAATAATAGTCAAAAATTCCAAATGTACCTGAGGGGACAACTTTGTAGATTGAAGTGATCTGAGAGGAAAAGCTTTTATCAACAGAACAACACAAAGACTATTTGAAGATGTCTATGAATGTATCCTTTCAACAACCTGACCAAAAATTTGAAGGCTGGAATTCTAAGGTCAGAATTGAAAGTGTTGGCAGTTTTCAGTAGTTAAGTGGAAAAGCCAAGTTAAAGTTTAGGGCAGAGACTCTTTATCAATCTGAAAACTGAAATATAAAATAGCATATAGGTATGCACACAATGGGGAGGAGTAAACTTCAGCTGGAAAGCAGAGACAGACATTTTACAGTCACATTCAATGTAATCACATTAATACTCAAACGGCCTGTGGTTGATGCTGCTTTGATGCTGAAAAGGTTTTGAGTTAAACCAACGCAAAGCTGAGAACCTCAGCTGGTTATCACCCACTACCCAATCTCCAGCCAAAGAGAACAGCTGAGCCCTAGAGATTGGTAGGTTGGTGCATTGGCATCATTTAACAATACTAGCAGATTTTCCATGATGTTGCACACAAATGCATTGGAGCATACATAAAAGTGTGGCAACTGAATTTGGTAGTTAATCAAAGATAATTCAAAGTGTTATTACATGTACACACAAAACGATAAATACAGTGCGATTAATTGTCAGCTGTCCCTCAATTTGAGGAAGATGTCAACATGGAATCATGAGTTTCTGCCTTCATGAGAATGAACAGCCTGATTCTCAGCTCTCAGACTTCAAACATATGATGCAGGAAGTTGCACAATGAACTGGGAACTAGAGTGCAGCACTTGCTTCCTTTTCTTTCTTTCTCTGCCACTGTTGTACCTCCTTGTTAAAGTGTGATGCAGCTCATTGGACAAGTTGTCTACGTTTTGAATGCCCTCCTCTCTGTCAATTCCAATGCATTTCAGAATGTCTCGGTGGTGTTTTCTCCTCTGGAACACTGGCCATTTGAGTTGAGAAAGCAGGAGTTAGTAAGGCAGCACCTTTCAGTCATCCAGACACAGTGATTTTGCAGGAGTTTTGCCTGAATGCTTGTAGCATTGGATTTAAGAAGGATACCAGTATTTCTGTCATTGAACCTG